ATTTTTTTTTTTTTTTTTTTTGCTTAATTTTACAAGACGGTCACAGCAGGGCTCCACTGAAATTGAGATTCTGGTCCAAGCTCTTCAATTTGCAAAGCCTTTCCATTCTTAAAATAGTTTTTACATTTAATTTATTCTTAGAGTATCTAAACTCAAATGGTAGTTCAATAAATTATTGGCTTTCCTTCTTAACAATCCTTTAACAAGTGATTCCAGTTTCCTTGGGTATGAGTTATTTATATATAGCCAAATTAATATATGTGTTTTATACTCATCACTTGTTAACTTAGTGGTCTTCAACTTATGGACCATGGGCCCGATCTGGTACATGGAGCTCTGTTATTGGTGTATAGGGCACTCCACAGGTGCCACAGAAATTAACTCTGTCACTGCTTCCGCACTATCAAATTTTCAGGCCCATGGGCAGTTCCATGGGTTAGATGACATAGCTCTAGATGTCAGATCAGGCCTGCGGGCTGTAAGTTGAATATCACTGGGTTAGTAAGATAATAAGTCATGGGTACACAATACTTGTATTCATTTGGCTGCACGGGCTGGGCCTGTGGACCAACTCTGTTCACTGGATCTGACCCATGGACTGGCCCTGCACTACTCATCTGGCCCATGGGGCTGGATGGACTGAGCACCACTATGCTAACTGGTTATAACAAGGGCATTCTAGTCTATATTTGTTCATAAAACATCTCTCTATTCAGAAAACAATGGTGTTAGTCAGTAATTATAGGAACTACTTACATTTATTTGCAAATAAACCTCAAGAGAACCTTATATTTTATTGAGAATTTGAAGCACAACCAAGGTTTTTACTTGCAAAAGGAAACGCATTAGAAGTGTCCAGTATCTTCTGTAAACACTTTCCAATCATATATGTTCACCTGAAAATTTGAAGGATATTTATAAAGGAGTTTGGAGCATTTATAAAAGAAATAATTTTCAGGAAGGAAGTTGCTATTATTCTTTGTGTGGATCTGAAGTAAAAGATTTTCTCTGTGAAGAGGAAGGTAGAGAAGCCCACTTTGTGACTCAGAAGCTGGACAGCTCTGTGCTAAGTGTTTGGGGGCCGAATGGCCTTTGGGCTGTACCAGTGCCCATGGTCCACACCAGGAAGAGCCACAGCCCCTTCATGCTGAACAAGTACCCCCACTGCAGCTGTGCTCAGAAGTCCCTCCTACTGCTGCACCTTGAATCCATGCTCCCCCTCCCTCCCTTGCTGCACTGCACACCTATGCCCTCCCACACTGCTGCAATGCTTGCTGGTGTACTGTCTCCCGCTCCTACCTCTCCACTGTGCTACTACTCTCCCACAGCCCTCTGCCCTCATTGCACCACATACATATACTATCCTGTTGCACAGCAGGGCCTCAAGTTCACTCTGAGCTCCTCTGGCTGTGTCTCACTGCACTACCCTGCCTTCTCGATAAGTAGGAGGCAGAGAAAGCTGGAGATGGGATGGGGAGCCTGGAGATTCTGGTTGCTGTTGCAGCCAGTGATGCAGGGAGCAGTGGACAGGCAGGAGCTCAAGGGAGAGTGGGGGGGTACAACTTAACCCCTGACAGATGGATGGCCCTGACCTAGCACATTGTTTTGCTAATACTTTATAAGCATTACTTCTCTCTGAAATTACTGCTGGTTAGAAATGTTTCAGGAAAAAAAGGCTTCTCAGGCAATTCTGATCTGCCAGAACTGAAAATGGGTATATTTTGTTAATGTACGAGTTAAGGTGAGAGAGTTCTCAACTCCAAGGTGCAATTTCTCAACAAAACCAGGAAGATAGCAATTCACCTTAGGAGAGCCTATAGCTTAGGAATTGGGGAACTCATCTGAGATTTGGGAGACTCAGGTTCAAGTCCCTGAATCAAGCAGAGCAGAGACTTGAATCTGGGTTTCCTATATCCCTGGGGAGTACCTTAACTCTTGGGATCTTTGTTATTTGGAGTTACTGTTTCTTACCATCTCTTGTTTTTTTCCCTCTAAATTTCAGACAGTCATAGTTTCATCCTACTGTACAATGGAAAAAGATATTTACATTTCAAAAAAATTAACAGCATGGGAGAACTAGTCCTGATCATTTCTATTTGAAATATTCTGCATGAAAGTGTTCTAGTATTCCTTTACCTGACCAGGTTTCTTTCTGAACCATTAATATCCTTAGAAGCCTCTCCCCACCCTTCAAAGAAATAAAGGGCATGTCTGTACCAAACTGGTATTTGGCTTAAGTCCTAGATGTTCTGTTCTTTGAGAAGACACTTTTGATTGTTTGCCTTTTGACCAACTGCTTCCTAGTTACAGCCTACTATTTGCAGTGTGTTTACGATATACAACTGGTAATTAAAACTCCAATCAAATATTCTATGCATAGCATAAGTTGTAATCATTATCATTTGTATAGTCTTAAAACATAGGTCAAAAGAAAATAATATTCAGTGTAAAAAAAATAGACGTTACAAAGCTGCATTCCAGATTCAGTGAAAACACAGTGGGAGGTAATAAAAATGGCTTTATGGCTAAGGAGGTGTCATTCTCATTGACACTTTCAGTGTCTGTTACTGGTTGACAGGAAGCAGATGCTTCCTAGGAATTTCCTTAATTACTTTAAATGTTTCATTTCATTAAATAACTAAATTAGTTTTGATAAGCAGCCAAAAACATGAGCATGCGAGCTCTCTTTTTTTTCTAAGTGTCAGATGTATGAAATTGTAAGTATCTCATAAAATGAGATAAAGGGAAAGCAATCTTTTAATAAGCTACAGCTACAATAACTAGTAATTTTATTAACCATTTTTGCATCAATAGTGAGGTCTACCCTGTATGGTGTAGGAGGTCTGCAAGATATGGAGCAGTGTCAGTATGTGAATTACAGAATAATCAGATGCTTTGTGTATATTTGCAGCACCAAGGTAACATATCTCCAAACATATTTAATTATTTGCCTAAACTATGCTCTATTTACATATGAGGATTCTTGCTTAGAGTTTGAGTGGCCCTCTAATGTAAAAAGAAAAGTGTGTCAATATTTGTTACTTTCTAGTAACATTGCTTTTCTGAATATGTCTCTGAAATATTGCCGTACAAGAGCCCTGTCTTTTTAAATGACTAAGCATGGAAGAGATTGATCATCTGCTATGTGGACATTTTATACCTCCTGGTTTCACATCAGTCTGAAGCTGAAGTCAATTAATGCAAGCTACTGTACTTTTTTCAAGTTACAAGTGCTAAAGTGACATACTGTCTGAACCTATAGTCCAGAGAAGCTGAATACTTGATTACCCTTTGTTTATCTGTGACCTACTAGAGTGATGGCCATTTCAGAATTACATGATAGGCTTCAAAGGCCTATGACCATTTCCACTCAGTACTTCACCTCACATTCAGAAAGGTTAGAAAAAAGTGACTTTAGATCAATTTAAGATTGCTGATATATAAAACACAATTGACTATTTTGAAAATTTCAGTGTAATTTTGCTATTCCTGAATTCTTTGTTGAGGAATTTTAATGCTATTGAAAAATTAAAACATTAATATTTAGAGGAAACTTGAATGTGAGTTACAGTATCAAAGTGTGATCAGATTAAATATTTGGCTGCCTTTATAGGATAGTCTCAGAAACAATAAGAAGATGTTCTAAGTTTTCCTCATTTTCCATCTTGCCATTTCAAAATTATTTTGCTGCTTTTGGTAAAAATTTAAGTGAGAAATTTAGTCTCACAGATATTCCCAAACTAGTGCAGGAGCCATCCAATTCTGGTATTGTTCATAGAGGTGCTTTCACTATAAAATTCAACTACTTTCCACCATAGATTTTGATGGTGTCAATCCTGAGGCACTATTTCTTTTTTAATTACAGGGTTTTGCCAGGATATTGAGTAAATTTTGTGTTTGGATGCAAGTAATTGTACAGTATTTGCTTAGACATAATTTAGAAATGAAATATTACATTTTCCTGTCCTATTTTCTTCTGGAGCATCTGTATATAAATTCTTATATATGTTTGTCCCTGTTTCAGGTATTCAGATAACCATGTTGCAAATACTGTATTTGGCTGGCTTATGTGAGCTAATTTGCTGTCGTCTTCAGTTTATTTTCTTTGTTGATATATTTAAACTATTTTGAATGGAATAGAACTGGTGGGGAATACTGAACAACAAATAATCCAAGCAGGGTAGCTGTATAACACACGTGGGTTGATTTATATTGGTATACAGTGGATACCTTTTTAGAATGGTTTGTTTTTCCCAGCTGGGGGCTAATCATGACATAACCTCTTTGATATAAGAGTGTGTGATTAACTTGTTCAGATATTGTAATTTCATTATTATTGTTTGTATTGTAATAGCCATTGAGATCAGGAGTCCATTGTGCCATACAAAAGTATAGCAAGCAATAGTTTCTGGCTAAAGGAGCTAACAGTCTAGCTAGATGAGTTGCAAAAGGTCAGAGAAAGGGGTACAGCATATGAGCAGAAGACTGAGAATTAAAAGCTAGAGAAGTCAAGTGTCTTGCCCAAGGCCGCATAGAAAATCTGTGGTAGAGTAAAGGGCAGAAATTGTTTCTCTTGTGTCCCCCTTCAGTACCTAAGCCCTGTCTTTCCTCCTTCAGTGACACTTGGGTGATTATTTAAGTCCTTTATGGGAATAAATGTAAGGATGAGCTGGCTTGTTCAATTCTTCTTATAATGTTATTAAGAAAACAAGAGAAACGAGTCCTCCCATTCACTGTGTGGAAGCTGGTGGGCAGTAACTGAACTTATTTGTTTAGTATCTTAGATGGGGCCCAGCTACTAAGCCTAAGCTGTCAAGAAGCCTCATCATTGTGCAGGGGCAAAATACAACCTGCAGGCCAGATCCAACCCTCCAGGCCATTCTATCTGGACTGTGGGGCCCCTAAAAAAAATTAGAAAATTAATTATTATCTTCCTGGGGCTGCCTGTCAAAGATGACAAGGCGCCAGCAGCAGCAGGACCCAGGAAGAGCTAGTGGCAGGACCCAGCAGCAAGGTCCACCTGACCCCACCTTACCCCCAGTCCCCAGACAAAAGCTTCTGCCTAGAAGAGGCTTCTGGCTTGGTGACCCTGGGGCTGTTCCCCTGCCCTCCCTCCATCCAAGAGTGGAGACTCAGGAAATAATTGGGTGGAGATGGCGGGGAAGATCACTGGTGCAGCAGGAGCCAGCCCGGCCCACTGGAATCATGTAGTTCCCAGCTGGCTCTTGCTGCACCATGCTGTCCTGGCCATGCAGCCAGGAACTGTGTACTACTGGAGTGGTGGGCAGGTGTGGGGGGGTATGGCAGGTGTGTGGTTGGGAGGTGCAGCGGGTGGTCAGGCAGGCGAGGGAGAGTGGCGAGTGGGTGGGCAGGCGGGAGCAGTGGGCAGG